GGAATTCCGTCTGAGGGCCTGGTGAAAGTCCCAAGCACACAGTCGATCGTCCTCTGTTTGACAGGGGTATGCTGGAAGCCGTAGGTTAGATCGGCGGGAGAGTTGCTTGTTCTCCGAGTATTCTCGGTACTCGGGGTTCCTCAGACTGGCACGGTCTGTGATCCAGAATGGAAGGCCAACATCCATGTTTGACAAGGGGGTCTTAACTCATACATTGGGTTGTGCAAGGAGAAGCGGGGCCAGGTCAGGCAGATACGTGTATACGTGATGATTGTCGTCTGGCGATCGTTCGTATACATGTGTGCACCTGATCTGTTCCCACCCAATCCGAATCAACTCAGATAGGCCAGACGGCCACTCGATGGTCATTTGTTCCTAGGCATCAGTCGTCAATTGCGTGCAATTCATGCATGGGAAAATCCAATCCACACTTAGGCATATACAATGATCGCAACCTGCCCCTTCTACATGTATCCGCCCCGGATCCAGGGAACAGTTCGATCACACACCCGATCACCACAAGGACATAGTCATTTCAAAAGTGGGCAGAACCTCATACATGCCTCCTTACATCAGCAAGGTGATACGATCAAAACGAAGAGGGAAGAGGAGGAGGGGGAGAGGAAGGTAAAGACAACTCCTTACATCAATCGAAGAAAAGATAGGAAAGTCCACAAGTGCCGTAATCGAGAATGGTCGAAGCGAGAGATCAAAATTACACAGAAGATGCGAAGAAAATAATTTCCACTTCAACACCGCCTTCTCTCTCTTTCTCTCTCGATGTGGGAAGTCCGTCGCCTCGCACCTATCAACAACCCGAAGTTGTCATCCCGCTTAGTCCAAGTAGACAAGCCAGGTTCGCCCGTATGCCACAGTCCTTCACGGCCACACGTCAACCTCTCCTACCCGGCACCAACTTGTCGGATTGCCCAACTCCCTACTCACCTTTCTGTCTCCGGTCGTTGGCCGATCCTCTCGACCGCGCTAACTCCCAAGTGTAGATTAGAGAACGAATTAGTCGCGCTTGCGAGCTTTGTAGTTTGCACGAGGTAATTCCGGATTATGCTGAAGCAAGAAGGAGTGGGAAGGAGGGAGTGCCTACGGTTGCATGACGGGGCCGCGGCGTGGGGGACGTCGCCGCTCTCCATGCATCGATCCAGTCATGCACCTGTAAGCCAATGAGATAGACGGGAAAGAGGCGCAGAGAAAACGCGGCAAAAGAAAGGGAAGGGATCAAGAAGTGAGAGGATTACAGTTACACCTGCACTTGCCAAGAAGGAGCAAGAAGAGATTACAGTTGTGATTAGAATTTAGGCGCAGCAGGAGCAGAGCGCGTAACAGGACGCCACAATGCGCGCACAAGTACAGAGCCTCGTATAGTTGCAACCAACGCTCCCAAATTCCTAGCCTTATTAAAATCCTAATTGCGAAAAGAAATTCCGAGAACCCGTGTGGGTTCAAAATCTAGAAAAGAATTAAAAAAAAAAGGACTTTCCCGCGCAGTGATCGCACCAAAAATTCCCCCCCTTTTTCAATCAGAACGAGAAAGAAGCTATGGCAACAGTTATTTCCGCACTCGCTAAGGCACGGTCAATTACCAACTGTCGGGGGACCAACCTCTTTCCAAAAGGCAGGGACACCCCCCCCTCCCCTCCGAGAAGCCGTCGCGCAGAAAATTGCGTGCCTACAGAAAGTACTTCGTCACAATACCACTCTGTGGAACAGGGAGAAGAGCATGACAGGGGAGGGGTGGGAGAAGAATATAGCAGAGGAGCTGCAAGGAGATGAGGTGGGAGAAAACGGGAAGGAGGAGGTAACAGGGGGGGGGGGGGGGGGGGGGGGGGGGGGGGGGGGGGGGGGGGGGGGGGGGGGGGGGGGGGGGGGGGGGGGGGGGGGACGCACAGTATCTCAGGCTTTCCAGTTTCCACCAAAGCGGAATAAAGGGGGAGGGGGAGACGGGCGTGAGGATGGGTCAGAGAAGAATATAACAGAGGGATATGGGGGAGCTACATCAACATGAAGTGGGAGAAAACGGGAAGGAGGAGGTCACAGAGGGACAGGGGGAGGGTGGGGAGGAGCACGTATGTGCCGCGAGCGTAGCCGCAGCATGAAACCGCTTGTTTTAATAAAGGGAAGCAGTCTTGAGATATATCCACAGGTGATTACTATGGAAGTAATTGTAGATTTTATGTCATGGTTATTGGTTATCGAGCTTCACTAATGACAGGTATGTTGAGAGTTTCAAGCTTCTTGAAGTATCAAAAATTGAGGGTCTCAACCCTGATAGGCATCGTAATCGAGCCATGAATGCCAACTATGATGATTCTGACTGCCAATTCAACTTGAGAAATGCTTTTATTCAGTATGTCCCGACCGCCCGCAGCACGACCTGAGCAGCCACTCTTGCCACGGGTTACAGGGCAGCACAGCTCACGCCAGCCAGCTACCACCGTTGACTGGCCCTGAGGAGACCATCCTCCTCAGGTCACCCAAAGTGGCAGCTATGGGATTTGCACCTATGCAGTGCCGCTCAGGCATGAAACCTACTGAGCTAGCTGATGGGACACACTGAGCTGAAGGCTGAAAGACACTTTTTGGAAAGCTGGGATAGATTAGGGCTCACTGTAGGATCTGCGACACCGCTGCATTGTAGAGGTCTAATCTCAGCTGATGATGATCCTGTGGATGTCTAGGCTGAGCACTTGGTGGCTCCTTGGAGTAAACTCCTCTTATCAGACCTATATTGAGCTGATGACTGAAACACAGTTTTTAGAAGAGATGGTTGAGATAGCTTAGAGTTGATTGAAAGTTATAGGAGCGACAGGGTTGTAGACGTCTACGTGTAGTCCCAACTGCTTGCTTCAACTCTTTACAGCAGATGGTGGCTGGCAGTCAATCCTTACCCTTTGGGGATGCAACAATGCTGTCAGTGCCAGGGTCTCCCAACTGTAGTGGGGAGGGGTGCATTGTTATGATCAAAGTTCTGAGCCACACGATTCTCTGTGCGATTCTTTCTGCTTGGGGACTGTACCATAATCATTTTTGAGGTTAATTGGGCTGCCCCTGATTTTTCGCATCAGCTTTTGGATTCTTTTTTCTTTTTCTTTTTTTTTGTCTTTTTTTTTTTTTTTTTTCCTTTCAAAAAAGGCCCTTGTGCAAAGCCTCTATCCCAGTGGTGGTAAGAGAACCACCGGAATTGAGGCATTGCCTAGTGGGCCGCTCTGTCTATTGGTGGGGAGCATCACCTGCTGGAAACCGGGTCCAGCGTCCCACGAATACATCTTTGAGTGCATCAATGCTTGTGTATCATCATAATCTTGGGGCCCTTGATTGCCCTGGGACTCAGGGGATTGACTGCTCAGGGTTTGTATCTTTAGGTGAACAGTAGACGTCGGTAGCCTGGGAGGACACAAAAACACAAAACTACAACAAACAAAAACACAAATTGCCATCTTGGGCCCGGGGGCCACCGGGCCTCATGGCTGTCTCCTCGCCTTCCGGCCGTCAGCTGTTGCCGATTATCAACGATTGACTGCACTGTTTGAACTCAGATGGTCACATACCGTCCCAGGGGCATTCTTCCAGGGACAGTGGATGGGGGAGAAGGAGTCATTGAATTCTTCTTAGAGTAGGGCAATTCTGAAGTTGCATTCATTTTATTTCTTTTCCAAAAACTCTTCGGCGTTTCATTTTTGTTTCCGCGCCCCAGCTAGCATGCGCACTTTTGAATTTTGGATTGTTCGCCACTCAGAGAGCACTAGGAATAGAGGTGCCACATACTTTCTTTTCGGAAGTCCGCTGGGCATGCATCCATCTCTTTCTTTTCGCATCTTCTTGAATTCTTGCTGCTGGCATGCACATGGCATTGTGCCTTCATACTGTAACCTCCTTCCTCTTGCGCCTTCAACGTTCCACGCACGTTCCCTTCTCATCTTTTTCGCGCTTTCTCAACTGTTTCCTCTACCCGATTTCACCCCGTCTTTTGCCTCCTTCCCCTTTTCCACCGCCCTTCTTCTCTATTCACTTATGTAATTGGTCCAATGATCATGGATGTCAGATCGTCCTGCCGAGAGAGCCTGCCCCCCCATGCCAGAGTCTGACCATGCAGGATCACCGGATCTCTCCTCCCCTTCTGCGGAACTGCAGAACCCGCAAGCGCAATTCCCTTGCACTCTCTGTTTTCTCAAGTCAGCCAGATCATGTAGATCAGCTAGCTTGGTGGGTGATAGACGGGCCAAACCCCCCTGGCGTGCTGGCACCCAGTAAGCGGGGTTTGGTAGGTCCACTGCGGCAGGCTGCAGGAACACACGCAGACCCAACGTGCTGATTGGGCCAAGGGGGGTGATGGCGCCATTTCAGGCTTGCAAGGCGTGACGGCCAACTGTCAGCGTCAACATGAGTGGAAGGATTGTCGGTGATGGGCTCGAATGTTGCATGCGTGTGAGAGAGCTGGGTAATCTGTTCTTTTCTTTTGCCTTTTCAAAGAGACTAGGCTTGAACTGTTCGGCATCCATCAGGGCTTGAACTGTTGATCTGTCCACCAACAGTTACACATGTGTTACCGTTCAACCATCTGTATAGAACCGGCCAGAGGAGGACCAACACACTGGAAGTGTGACCGCCTCCTGAATGACCACACATTTCCGAGGAATGGTATTTGCACTGGAAGTTTTAAAGCACAGTACACCACACATTGGCCCGCGGGTGTCAGCATGAAACGCGCACCACTGCGGAGGCCGCCGATTTGTTTTTTTCAACGGCAGGCCTGGCCACGTGGCGCCTCCGAGTTTTGCTTGTGGAGACAAAAACTTTCTGCAAGGCTGGGGCCGTGTACTAGCGGCTTAAGAAAAGAATGATGATAGGAATAGGAACAAAGTGGGAAAAAAAGAGAGGGATAGGAACATCTGTCTCTTGGTGCTTTTTTTTTGTTGGCCAACCACTGTACCTCTATAGGAGGCTTTTGAACAGGGGGATGGGTCCTTGTGTCTTCTCACCTGGGTGGTTTTTGTTGTTGTTTTTCTCCTTCAGACGGTCTGCTGAGGACGTTTGGGCACTTTTGGAGTCCTTGCCAACAAATTGTGATCCTCCCAATGCAGGCACCTCTTCTACTGTTCCAGATCTGTAAGTTACAGTCAACAATTGCTGATTGTTTTGGCTACATCCCCCTGTTTCTTAAACAAAGGGGCTCTGTGCCCGAGGCTCTTTTTTTTTTTTTTTTTTTTTAAAAAAAAAAA